GTGTATACGAGTTTAAAAAAAATGTCTAAAAGTAAAGAGAAACCAAGAAAGCCAACATTTACTTGTCCCTTATCGTCTTTATATGCAAGTTTCATGTGAACTTAATGGAAAACAATTTATTCTTTCAGTTGTTCAAAGTTTATCAAATCCCTTACAACCAGGATTTATTTGTTTTTGCAAAGATAAAGCGCAAAAGTTTGACATCTGCTTCTGCGACAATAAATATTTTATATCAAGAACTTTTAGACGGAAAACCAAATATTCTGGACAAATAGTGAAGGATTATACGGAGGCAACACTTCAAAATAATAAAATTCTATAATAAATACGGGTTTTTTATCAAATATGTAAATCATAGAATATTCCAAATATGTAAATCGAAAATTCGTATAGGATTTTCGAATTAAATTAAAAGAACATTCCAAAATGTCGTTTCGGAGATTTTTAAAATGCGATAAATTCTCAACGTTCGACAAATGAATTCTTCGTTTTTTTTAATAATAATATAAATAAGAGGATTATTTTGGATTATTCGCTGTCCATAATTTCTCACGTTTCTATTTTATTTGAATAAATGTCTGGTGGATTTGTTGCAAGAAAACTTGATAGATCTAAGAAATACATCAAATGTCTACAATGCAACAGTAGAAGACTTATTAATAATTATTGTCATATCATTAATTCTCTAATTGTTGCGAACAGTGGCAACATAAAAATTGATAACTTTATCAAAGGAAGACAAACGACTAAACATAATTATCGGTTTTTATAATGGGTTACCTTTAAAGAGTTTAAAGATGTATAGAAAATTGGGCAAGGTGGTTTCAGTCAAATCTTTACAGCTACTTGAAAATTTAGTAAATACATAGGTACTGATGGTAAAGTTAGACGGTCATATTCAGATAAAATTGTTTTGAAAGTATTAAATAACTCCCAGAATGTGGATACAGAATTTTAAATGAGGTAATAATCATTTATTTATTGATTATTTTATTTATTAATGTTATTTATTAATGTTATTTATTGCATTTTAAAAAATATAATTGAAACTTACATTTCAGTTCAAGGGTAAGCCGTTTATGAGTTACAGGAACCAGAATCCCATAATCGGAGTAACACAGGATCCACAAACCCAAAATTATGTTGTTATTTTAGAATATATACCAAATGAAGATTTGCATCATTTTATAAAAACTTAGAAGAATTTACATGGGAATGTAAAATTAATTGTTTATATAGTATTGTTAGTAGAATTCAAAATATTCATAATAAGAAAATTATACATCGAGATTTACATAGTGGTAACATTCTTGTTAATAATAATATTAATGATATAAATAGTTATTCTAATAATGCATTTATTTCAGATTTAGGATTTAGTCAACCAGCAAATATTGAATCAAATCTTTCAAGAGAATCTCAAATATATGGAATAATTCCATATATGGCTCCAGAATTATTTAAATATCAACCATATTCATATGCATCAGATATTTATAGTTTAGGAATGATTATGTGGCAATTGACATCAGGACATAGACCATTTCATGATCAAGAACATGGACCAAAACTTATATTAGATATTTTAGATGGAAAAAGACCAGAAATTACAGAAGATACACCACAAAGTTGGGCTAATTCAATGAAAAGATGTTGACATCCTGATCCTTCTCAACGACCAACAATACAAAAAATTTATGAATTATTGCAAAATTTTATGTATTATTCTATGTATTCTGAAGATGAAATCAATAAAGTATATCCATACAGTTATAACATGTGGTCGGGATTTAATGAAGCTGTAAGTAAACGACTTGAAATGGTTGAATTCAAAAAACCATTTGCAAAAAATCCAGGATATGAACATCCCAATTCTAGATATTATAGCACGTCATTAAATTCCATGTTAAAATCCATTAATTCAACAGTAACAGGTATTTATTGGTTTAAATAATTTTTTTAAATGATTCATTATAACAATAATTTCTTATAGATGACATGATTTCTATAGATATATTCTCTAATGATAATTTACTCTCCAATAATCATTTTGATATAATGGATTTCAAGTAAGAATTAGTAAGAATTATATACTTCAGTTATTAATCGATTTCGCTAATTTATTTTATTATTAATAATATTCAAATAGTTCTAATCAAAAGAATAGTATTGAAAATTCGGACCATAATTCAAGTGTGGTAAATTCTAAAAAACATTTTTTGGATAAATTACTGCAAGAAGAAAACGTTGAAGATCAAAGTAATATTTTTAAATTTTAACAAATTTAATTATTTTTAATTATTTTTTCATTTATTTGTACCTTTACCAAACAGATGAATTTAAACGAAGAAAATTTGTTGAATATTTTAATGAATGTTTTGTAGTTGAAGGTATGGATATAATTATTATTAAAATCTATTATTCTTTATTTTCAATAAATTATTTATTTTTATTTTATTTTTTACTTTCAGATAATTACATTATAATTTAGTGAAAGTTTTATAAATAACTGAACAAATTCGACGAATATATTTGACTATCTTTTGCATTTTATTTTATTTTATTCATATTTTTTACAACAGCTTATTTTTTTACGTATCTTTTTATTTACTTATCACTTTGAATATTATTTATTTTTATTGTAATAATTAAATTAATAAATGAATTTACGTTTTTCTTTAAAAAAACCAATGGTATATAATATAAATGATTTCATAATTTGATTATTTTATAAAGAAAAAATTGTTGAACGTTTGCGATAAATATATGACTTAAATGCTTATAAAATCTTTCATTCAGTTAAAAATACAATTAAAGGAAGCAAATATTAAATAAAGTTCGCGTACTTTTCAGTTTATTTCAAAAATTATAAATCAGAAAGATTATATTTTATTTGCATTCTAATTCTAAAGAAATGTTTACTGAATAATATAATAATATGAACATTTACGTGTAAAGTATATTAATAATTCAACTTTCATTGGAAATTCGGCTTAAAATAACGATATCATTATCTTCGTCACTTGAGAAAATTTATAGCAGTTGAGTTCACCTAATATTAACAAACAAATTCTTTGGCATATTGCATCTAATATTTTTTTTTTTTTTGAATTATTTGGTTCCAATCATTTATTGCAAATATTTGTAGAGTGAGTTTATAATTATCCTAGCCATTGATTTGTGAATTTTTTATAAAGTTATTCCTATCCATATACTGAAATGAAAAATTCCACAGATCAGAAAGTCGTTCCACGACAATTTCTAAAAAATAATTATAGAACTTAGAACTTTCTAACCATTCAATGGATATATGTATCAGGAAATTTTTAGGCGTAAATCTACGTAGTTTCTCAGTAATTTCTTAATTTCTCCAGACCAAAAAAAAAATCCGTTTTTTTGACTTCGATTTTGATTTGTAGGACAGGGAGGGAATTTTGATTAAGGTATTCTTATGGCCGAAAATTCTGACTCGGAGCTACAAGATCAAATTTTTTTTATCCTTTTAGCACCGATCTTCGCAGACATATTGCGGTTTAATTAAAAGTCCTCGTATAAATACCGTAGGTGTTGTAATATTACGTAGATTTGCCCTAAAAAAATTTCAGGATGAGGTTCGAAATGAATTCGAAGACATTGAAGGATCACTTAGTGAAGTTGTTTGAAGGTCATAAATAATTGCCATAATGTATATAAAGTTGGGAGCTTTGTACTTGTGATATTTAATTTAACTCGTTTCTTTAGTTAAAAAAGTTTTTATGATGCAATTATTTATGTACATTTATAATCAACTGATTAATTTATTCTTCTAAGAATTCTATTCTTCCATCATTATATTTTTCTTCTAATCTCTAATAATCATCAATCACTTTAGCACCTGGTTTCATTGAATAATCTATTTCTATACTTTCTCAAGTTGGAGCTCTACTCAATGCAACATGTGCTTACACATCAGCAAAATTGACTCATCTAGAGATACTGTAACATGAGGTAAGAATGTGTGCTGTCAAGGAGGGGAAACTGAATACAAAGTAATCGTATTCCATTAACTCTAAAATAACTGGTATCTTTTTATAATATAAAAACTATGATAATTGCAGTTTTCAAAAAAAGGCCATTATACCTTTATTTTAAGTAACAATTTTCAGAACTACATCTACAGATCCATCCATTATATAATCCTTTTTCAAATGAAGAGATACTTAAAAAAATTCACGCATACTTTCTTTCAAAACTGTTTCTGTTGTATAGCTTATATAATGATATCAGTTTCACTTGGAGAGACTCGGGTATCATTCATAAAATGTACAAAATAATATTAAAAATATTTATTAAATTTACATTAAATGTTTTCATAAATTATATGCATTAAATGTAGAGAACAGAGTCCAAGAAAGAGAAATGTTGAAAAATATTATTAAAAATAGATACTGTAAATATAAAAAAATCTTACCTTGCATAGTCTTAAACCCAGGATCACAAATCTGTAATAAACGTAAGTAAACATAAAAAATTTACAATTTAGATACGAATTCCAAGATAACAGATCTAATCCCAAAGAAGGTAAGTACTTTTTTAAAGATCCATCCATCACAGTAAAGGAATATTTAAAGAAATCCATGGCAGTGTCAAGAAATAACAATTTTAGATCGATCCGCGAATCCACACTATCTCAACACTCTCAAGAAGGTAAGTAATTTAATGAATCCGAAATTACAGAACTAATTTAAAGAGATTTAAATATTTAACCATAATGAAAAAAAAAAAGATTGTTAAGAATATAAAAATAAATATGCACCAAAAATAATATTTGCCTTCCCAAACTCAAAGCTTTAAAAAAAAATAAAAAAAATAAAATAATAAATATGATATAAAGAAATAAAGAATTCAGAATCGACGATATTCAGCTTCTTAGCGATTCATAAAATTCTAAGAGTAAAAAACAAAGTAGTAAAGGAAATGAAATATATTTCACTATTTATTTAAACTACTTAGTACGAAAACAAATCAACTCTTAGAAATTGAACTGAGTCGCATATTAAAATACTTTAAATGAACAATTTATAGACAAACAGTATTTTATAGGGATTCATTGTGTGCCCCATATTTTATCATATTTCGAAGGTTTATTACTCTAACAAAAGCAATTATACTCATTCGACCGAATTTGTATATTAAGGACCGTAAATGGCAGACAAATTTTTCCAAGTGATGAAGAATACTATTAATTACTTTTCAAATTTTTCTTTAATTTTCAAAGTACCTAAATATCATTACAAAACAATACATTTTATAAACGTAATTAAACGGAATATAAGGTAAATAATAAATTTTTAAAAAAAAATGAAACTTATAACTAATAATTATGAAAAATAATAAATTAAAAATTTAATTAAAAATAACCGAAATGAAATACAAATATTGGATAATTCATACTTTGTATCCATATATCAAAATAATCATTAGAGAGTAAATTACATTGGAGAATAGATTTATATAAGAAATCATTAGCATAATGAGTTATTTCATTTAAAAAACTATCGGAACAATTAAATACCTGATATTGATTCTAACGTAGAATTTAATAGAATGTTCATATTCAAAATTTTTTACAAATGATTTTTTGGTTTCGATTATTTCAAGTCGTTTAGTTTTAACTTCTTTCAACTCTAACCAAGTATCATACTGATTTGGATGATATTTTTTGATATAATCTTCAGTACAATAAATTTCTTCAATTTTTTGGTCGTTGAGAAGGATCAGGATGCCAAAATCTTTGCATTAAATTTGTCCACCCTTCTGGTACATCTTCTGTAATTTCTGGTCTTTTTCGATCAAAATCTCTAATATAAGTTTTGATTCATGCTCTCGACCATGTCATGAAATGGATGGAAATTGCCACATGATCATTCCCTAAACTATAAACATCTGATGTAACTGAATATGGTTAATTTCTGGAGCAATATTTGGAATTACTCAATATATTTAACCTTCCTAGGTAAATTCTTCAAAGTTTGTGGATCAAGTGTTACTTCGTAGCATTTTTTGTGTTTGAATTGATACTTCAACTACATTTTTTTTCAAATCATTAATAGTGAATATTAATGAATTAAAATAAAAATCAAAATAATAATTCATAATAATTATTATCTCATAGCATTCATATTCTGGGAATTATTTGGATTTTCTAAACAATTTTACTTTTTGACCATTCAACAACTCATTTTTGCCTACAACATCTCTGTTTTTTCCCAAGTCCTTGCCCAATTTTCTTGATACCTGTAAATTCTTCAAAAGGAACCAATTCTAAGAATAAATCCCTGATTCTATTCTTTGATGACTATGTTCCTTTGATGAAATTATTAATATTTATATTGCTGCTGTTAACAATTAGAGAATTCATGCCAAAACATTTTCGGAAAAATTGTGAATTAGCAATAATTTTTCTTTTTTTCCACACTTAAAACGTTTATGTATGGCATTAGTTTTAATAATTATTTTAACTCATTTTATTTAAAATGAATAATTTTGACAGATAGAAATTTTTTTGAACCACACAAATTTATCAAATTTTTTAAATCGGACGAAAGTCGAAATTTTGTGTGTGACAAACTTTACTAATTCATTTATTGTTGGAGTATAAAATTATGGAGACCGGAAACATAGCGTAGCGTAGTACACTTTATGAATCAGCAAACATTTTTTAAGAATTAAAATGAATATTCCTTTTTTTTAAATAAAGTTAAATTTAAAAAAAAAACTTTCAATTTTATAATTTTGAATAAATTGAAACGATATTTAATGAATTTATGCAATATTTTATTTTCTTTCAAGCGAATAATAGAATTATTATCAATTCTTAAGTTATAATTAGCTGATTGTATATGTAAATTCGAACCCTTCTTCATTGGAATCATGAAAGAAGAAACTTTTGTCAAAAGCGAAAAAAAAAATTTCTTAGAAAAGGCACTTATTTAGATGTAGTTCGGTATGTAGACTTATCAGAATTGAAAAATATAATTTTATTTTTTTTTTAAAAAAAAAAATAGCAGTTACAAAATAAATAAATAATATAATCAAAGGTATACATACATAAAAATATACGAAAAAAAAGAAAAAATTTTAAATTTAAGAATTCATTACCAAAGTAAAATAAAAAAAACAGTGTAATATTTATTTATAATTGTTACCAGAAATTTGCAAGAAAAAAAATAAATTCATTTATAAATCATCTACTAATTATTAATTAAGCATTCGAAATCATCTTTTTTTTTTTTAAATTCAACGGAGTCTTTCTCCAATAAACTTTTATTAATAAATTAGGTGTAAATTTTAAAGATACATATAATTTATTTTACATTTATTTTACATTTATTTTACATTTATTGAAACTGACTAAAAATAAAATTTTATGGTCTGACTTATCGTTGCCTAAGTGTAACCTCAGGAACTGATGGCCAAAACCCCATCAGATGTAATTATTATATATATAACTATAATTAT